AAATAGTTTACCACAGAAAAAAGAAACAATGAAAGTAAAGAAGGAGGCTGCACAAACTGCACAAAATAAAGTGAAAATCCATTCCAGAGAGAGAGGAACAGGCCCGCCTCCAGGAGTGGAGAAAGATGCTGAAGTCTGAGCACATACTGCCTTTTTATAAGCTCACTAGTTTGTCCCACCTTTCTCCTGGTAGGATTGGTTGTTGTTTCCTGCCCTTTGGGCTGATTGACAGGTTGAGGTTATATAATAGATCACGTGACAGTTTACATAACTGTGTGGTTGTATACCAGTTTCCCCTTCTCCCCACAAGTCTTCCCCAGAATCCTTAACAAAACTCTACCCATGCTATGCTAACTAGATGATAATGAGCTTTAGGGCAGTAGGAATTTTTACTATGTATATTCCCTCCGGGGAACAGTTGCTAGCTGCAGTATCGTTCCTAGCTACATTTTGATTCCTGCTCTCCACCCTTAACCATTTCCTTGACACCTGTTTACTCTCCTCAGACCTAACATGATAAAGTTTAATTTATAAATTAGACACAGTAAGATTAGCAGCAATAATAATAAAACAGAACAGTTATAACAGTGTACTGTAATAAAAGTTATGTGAATGTGACGTCTCTCCCTCTCTCAAAATATCTTGACATTTTTGGATTACAGATGACCACAGGTAACTGAGACTCAGAAAGTAAGATTGCCGATTAGGGCGGGGGTGGAACTACTGTACTGACAAATCTCTAGAAACAGGACCCAGGGCAAGCCATGCAGGGGCCACATGGAGAAGCAGCAGGGAAGTCAAGAGGCAGAGAGGGTGAGGGGAAAACATGAACAAGAGCCTCTGTCGTGGTTTCCATGTGAAGGAGCGTGCAGCCAGGGCAAGCAGGTTTGGGGCTGGTTAGTTTAAACGATTACAGAGGATGGTAGGCAACTAGGGACATGCTGGCTGTCTGGCACCTGGTCCTGGGATGAGTAGGCAAGAGGGACAGTGGCTGGAAATATAAGAGCTTGATAAAGGAGGTGGCAGGGAGGTGCGGGCTCTGCTTGCTTGATCTGGATATGAAGGACACACTGTAGACAAGTTGTTTGCTATCTGTAGGAAAGAGATAGTCCCCCAAAGGTCAGTCTCTCCAGGGTCTGTAAGGCCTTGAGATAGCAAAGCATTAAAGATAAGGACTAACACGATTAGATTAATGCCAGCCCTCATTAAGATTGATTATCTATTCTCGTCATCCTCATGCTCTCTTAGAGCTTCCTTGGACTACAAGGAAGAGTAGTCCAGGAAGAGCAAACTGATCATTACATGTGGCTTCTGTGCTGTCAGTCTACAATTTTAGGCATGGTGGTTTGAAGGTAAATTAACGTATGGAAATTTAAAAATGGCATCCCGTTCATTCATGAAATAATGCTTTTCATGATTCAAGAGAGGTGTCTAGTTCCAGATTTCAGACTCTTGAAAGAAGTAAAGAAATGGGACAGGATCCCGAGAAGAAATGATAAGGATGGAGAAGCAGCCAGAAGGAAGGGTGGTCGGAGATAGGTTGGAGAGCGCTTGGCAGCCCCCAGGTACCGGTTCAGTTCCCAAGAAAAAAGAGACCATTCAGGCACCGTCCATATTTAGTGATCATAAAACAAAGTGTAACAGGCTTAGGGTGACGCAACCAAATTCAACTCCAACTCAAGAAAAAGCAAATAGACTCCTGATCCTGGGCAGTCTCTGTGAGGACACATATCGGGGAAAGTCTCCAGAAAGAGAAAACACCTTTCAGCTTTGACAGAGATTATGCGTCTCAAAGGAAAATGACTACCTACACAGCTGACCTCTTGGTTTCACTCTCTGAGGATTATCTGCCTCTGAGACCATTTATACTTCTCTGAATTATCTCTATTAACTCCCAAAGAAAGGTTTGCTGCTTCTCACTTCCTTTTACAGGGGAAGAAACACATATACAAGCAATCCAAAAAACCGCAGCTTTGCATAGCTTGAGACTAGAGAGATCGCTTCACAAAGAGGGCAGACATGCTAGACTCGCAGAGGGTCTCAACCTGTGGGTCACGACCCCTTTGTAACAGTGAAAATACATCGGGGCATTAGGAAGGTTGAGAATCACTGTGCTAGAGGATAGACTTAAATAAACTATAAACAGAAAGGCAGTCTGCAAAGCTAGGCCCCCAGCCTTGCCTTTGTTGAGGTTAGCAAACAGCTTGGCCGAAAGAGATGGGATCAGGGGTCCTGCGTTGTCCCATCCCAGGTTAGTTTTTCAAAGCAAAGAACTGGGCCTTGAGGTCACGCACATCACATATATCGACTTGGTCCATGAAGGGCCGCAGGTCCACAAAAGAAAGCAGATGCACTGGCTTGATCTTCCAGAGTAGCTCATGCATCTTCTTGTTATGTGAAAAAAATAAATCAGAAAACACAGGTAAACAGAAAGAAAATTAAAATCTGATTGGCCCTATCAACCAGAGCCAACAACTTGGACCATAGTTTTCCAAAGTTTCGTCTATATTAAATATATAGGTTCTTTTCCCCCACACATAAAAACAATTGAATTATTAGTTCTTTAGTTACTTTTTTTTTTTCTGAGACATGGTCTCTCTCTGTCACTCAGGCTAGAGTGCTGTGTCATCACCATAGCTCACTGCAGCCTCAAAGTCTTGGGCTCAAGTAATCTTCCTCCCTCAGCCTCCCAAGGAGCTGGGACTATAGGCATGCACCATCGTTCCTGGCTAATTTTTCTGTTTTTTGTAGAAATGAGCTCTCACTCTTGCTCAGGCAGGTCTCAAACTCCCGACCTCAAGCAATTCTGTGTCCCCAGCCTCCCAGAGTGCTGGAATTAAAGGTTTGAACCACCATACCTGGCTCTTTAGCTGCTTTTAAAAATTAAGCAGTATATCTTAATCTTTTTTATTTATTTATTTATTTATTTGAGACAAAGTCTTACTCTGTCACCCTCAGTAGAATGCCGTGGCATCACAGCTCACAGCAACCCTAACTCTTGGGCTTAAGCAATTCTCTTGCCTCAGCCTCCTGAGTAGATGGGACTACAGGCACCCGTCACAACACCCAGCTATTTTTTGTTGCAGTTGCCACTGCCATTTTAGCCGGCCGTGGCCCGGTTCGAACCCACCACCCTCGGTATATGGGGCCTGCGCCCTACCCACTGAACCACAACCAGCTTTTTATTTTAATAACTATATTTCTAAAATACCATTTTTAGTGGTTGCTAAATTCCATTGTATGAATATGCCATAGGGCTCAATTCACTGGTGTTGGACAATTAGGATCTTTCTAAATATGTTTGTATTACAGATAGTGATGCAAAGAGCACCCTTGTAGTAAAATTTTGTACTGTTCTTAATATTCCTTCAAGGTGTATTTCTTAAAAGGTTATTACTGCTTCAATGAATAGGCTTATTTTTAATGATTTTGATACTGCTTCCAAATTGGCCTCTAGAAAAATCTTTCAATAACAGAGTACCCTGATCTGAGTGCCTACCACACTGTTGATCTTCAGGATCTTAATTCTCCCATACGCACTAGTGCCCTTTGTTGGAGTCACAAATCTTCGCTAGTAAAGCTTTGAAGACAGTAATTCTCTTTTGTATCCTTCATGGCTCTGCTTCATAGAAATGACTCTAGTTACTTTAATTTTCTTCTGCATACATCCCTACGTTGCAGAAATCACTGAAAGATGTGTTTTTGGGTTAAAAACATAACCCAAACCCCCTATGCGTTTAGAAGTTAAGAAATATGCAGGTGAGTGCAGTGGCTCATGCCTGTAATCCCATCACTTTGGGAGACCACGCTGGGAGGATCGCTTAAGGCCAGGAGTTTAAAACCAGCCTGAGCAACATAGTGAGACCTTTGATGCTACAAAAAATGTAAACATGAGCCAAGTGTGGTGGCACATGTCTGTACCTAGAGTCCTACCTATTCCAAAGGCTGAGGCAGGAGTTTGAGGTTGTAGGGTGAGACCCTGTCTAATAGAAGAAGGAAGGAAGAAACATACTTCTAAATCCCAGAAGGGTTAAAGAATAAATTCCTTGAAAATTAGAAGATGTTTTCAACTGAATGATAATGAAAAAGCTACATAGTATAAAGCTAGTGGGTTGCTCTAAACGTAGCTAAAAGGAAAATTTGAAGCTTTAAGAAAAGAATAAGTACTGAAAATTAATGAGCTCAGAAGCCAGCTCAGGAAGTTAGCAAAAATACAACCAGAAAGAAAATTCTTGAGGTCAATGGCCCCTTAAACATCCCCGTCCACCGTCTTATTTCCAAAACAGTGCTTGATACGTGAAAGGAACTTGAGTATCAGATTGGCCTTGTCACATCTGAAAGGCCACGATTCTTAATACATGGTTTTTCTAAACTGTCAGGGTTGAAGTAGTATTCCCACTGTGATCGATCTGCCAGAATAATCCATCCCAGTGTCATTTAAATGCTGGGGACAGTAAGTTCAGACTTGAGGAATGAGAAAAGCCTAAATAAAGGGCCGCAGATTTCCCTGGGCTGGTGGACATTGCCACCGTAAACCAGGATTGCAGCGCCCTGGGTCGTACATGTGGCTGCCCGTTCCTTAACTCTGGACATTCCAGAGAAGTGTTTTGTGTTTATTTTACTAAATACATTTGGAGATAAAGGTTTACGGTGAGTTCCTCTGTGTCACCCCATCGAGCACTTTGGTTTTGAGCACCAGAGCCCTCAGAGCCCAGGAACAAGGCACGGACTGATGTCGTGTCTTTTTCATATAGACGGTTGTCTACTGAAGTTAAGAAAGTTTTGCATGTGTAAGGGACAGAGGATTAGGCTCTGGGGATCAATTTTACTCAAGGAAAAAGAAGTGACTTTAATTTCATTTATGGTCTCCTGGACAATTCTGCTCCAAGTTTAATTCTCCATCAAATATTAATGCCGCTCGGTGCTTTAGTGAACTGCCTTCGGTATCGTGCCACTCGAACCGACACTAACCTGTTTTACATTTTATAACTGAATCGCAGGGCTTTTTCAGGAGAAGTCAGCAAAGCAATGCCACCTACTCCTGTCCCCGTCAAAAGAACTGTTTGATTGATCGAACCAGTAGGAACCGCTGCCAGCACTGCCGATTACAGAAATGCCTTGCCGTAGGGATGTCTCGAGATGGTGAGCTCTCCCAGCTTGAGTGGTACGGTAGCATGGGGTTGTGAAAAGTGCCTTCTGAAGCTTGGACCCAGATCTGCCAAAATATGCCGGGGTCAGCTGACTGCTGATGGAAGGGTGGGAGTGGTGGGGAGGAGAAGTGTCTGGTGGTCTGAGCCCCTTCAGATTCTTGATGTTTCAGACGTTCCTGGGAGGGTGGATTGATGGAAGGTAAGTATCATTTGAGGGCCTTAATAAATATACTTCCTACAGCCATCCTCCCACCCCCCTAGCAAACACAAGCTAGAACTGATTGTGAACTTGACTTCATGCTATTAAGCTCTTTGGAGGTTGGGATGCAGTGGCTTTTATGCCAACTGGATATCTTGAATCACACACCAAAGTCAACTATTTGTACGTACAGAATGTATGGAAATAGTGCAAAGTATGGCTCAGTGACAAATGTTCTTTTCACTAAAAGACGTTATTTTAAGGAATAGAGACTGTCTACCATTCAGTAACAAAACATTTCACGATCTTCCTGGAAAATGATCTTAAGGGTACTGAATAATCAGCACCAGATTTCAGGACAGTTATGCTTACATGTGGAAACTGGGCAGAAAGTCCAGCGGGTCCATTTTGAGGATTTTTCCTAATACACCAGCTGGCTCTCTTAAGAGATCCCTTTGAAGGAAAATGTCTCCTTCAATGGAATTTCAGCCTGTGGAAAAATACTTCAGAATACAGGGCGGGCCTTCCAAGAGCCTGCCTTCCCCATAATCAGATGTTCTCAGGGCCTGTGGATATGTTCCTTCAGATTCTAGGACATCCACTCTGAGCGTCACTACAAACGTGAAGTTTTTTTCCATTGGAAGATAGAAATCACAGAACTTATATCATGTTCTGAGAAATTCCCGAGACATGCAACTCTGTGGATTTCCTCTTCCAATGAAATGACAACTGATGAAGTTGGGTATATCTCTTGTGAACTTCTAAGTAAAAATCAGAAGTTGTATGTGCCTTTTCTCGAAAGCTGGTACTTTTATTTCACTCACAGGGTGATATGATTATTGTTGGTAATATTAAGGCAAAAGTTAAAACACCATCATAGAATCACAGTAGAACAAGTTTCATCCATTGGTATTAATCCTTTGGGTGTCCTAGAGTACTTTTTTTTTTTTCAAAAAAATTGAGTCCTTTCAGTGTACTTCCTGGCAAGTTTGCATATAAGACATAGCACAGGACTGGCGTGGTGGCTCATGCCTGTAATCCTAGCACTCTGGGAGGCCCAGGCAGGTGGATAGCTTGAGCTCACAAGTTCAAGAACAGCCTGTGCAAAAGCATGAGCTTGTCTCTACTAAAAATAGAAAAAACTGAGGCAAGAGGATCACTTGAGCCCAAGAGTTGGAGGTTGTTGTGAGCTATGATCCTACAGCACTCTATCCAGGGCGTCAGCTTGAGACAATGTCTCAAAAAAGGGAAAAAAAGAAAGAAAAGAAAAAGGAAGAAAGAAACAGCACAAGTTGTAGTAGGCTAGGAGTAAAGTTTGAGGCTTATAAAAATTACGGGGCCTGCAATTCAAAGCTCACATCAGCCTGCTGGCTGTCTAACCAGCCCCACCCAGCTTTGTTATCTGAGTCATGATCACTGACCAGTATTCCAGCTCCCTTGTGTCCTCTGTGCAAGAGGACAGCACATCGTCCTTGGCAGGGAAAGAGTCCACCAGCTGGCTGGTATGGTGGCCTTGCTTCCCACCTCCATGCCCATTTATCCTGCCTCCCATCCCAGACTTTTATAAGTAGGGGGACAGTCAAATGGATGAATTCATCCACCCTGACAGGGATAAATTTATCCACAATCAATCAGGAGAACTAAGTTCCTTCAGGAGAGACTTTACCTCTGTACACAGTGTCACTGAGAAGTTAATGAGTTAGTGGGAGAATTCAGACAAGGAAATCATAGGTTTGGTTTTTTTTTTTTAATTATCTGGGTGTTTCAGGAGAAATCATTTGGGATTCTAAGTGAACTGGAAAGTCACTGTGGTCATTGTTCCATTTTAAATATGGGGACACCTTCCAAGGAGAAGTGTCGCAGTGTCGCGACCACACCTCCACCCAACAGGGATCTGCTGCTACCTTGGCTCTTTCCGATCCCTGACGCTGTCCTCACTTGAAGCCCAATGAGAATAGCAGAAACTGACATTTAGATATGGCCCCAGGGTTTCCTGGGGCTGCCTTGACCTATGAGTGGAGGAAGGGGCTGTTTCTTCTGTCTGTAGACTCAGACAGAATTCAGAGCATTACAACCAGTCTGTTAAGGCCTTGAAGACCCAGATTTGGCCGTCTGTGGGGGAGAACCTCATTCAGGTGTATGGAAGCGTGAACTGAAAGGCAGTGAGAGGAGGTGCTTATGCCTCCATGACCCTGTGAGGCTTTGCACCCTACGCAGGGGCTGAACACTGGGGAGAAGGAGGCGGTCTGGGCCAGCAGTGTGAGTGGAGAGTGAGCTGAGTGCGTGAAGTTACCTATCGGTGGTGCCCAGGGAGCCCGGGGGAGTGAGAGTGGGGAGAAAAGGTGGTATCCGTCCAGGTCTCTCTTACCCATCCCGGGACCTTAGTTTCTCTGGGATGTATGTTTTGCTGATGGGGGTGTGGAGTGAGCCTCTGTGTGGTGGGCTGCCCTCCGCCCGGATGACGCCCTTATTCTGTGGTCCTGTGGTTCTGGATTGATACTGAGACTTCAGAGGAAACCCTCAGGCACGCAGGAGAGGATAGTGAGGAAGAAAGCACATGGTATATGGTGTGGTTTGGCTTCTTCTCTTCCAGCTGTAAAATTTGGCCGAATGTCAAAGAAGCAGAGAGACAGCTTGTACGCGGAAGTGCAGAAGCACCGGCTGCAGCAGCAGCAGCGCGACCACCAGCAGCAGCCCGGGGAGGCCGAGCCGCTGACGCCCACCTACAACATCTCGGCCAACGGGCTGACGGAACTTCACGACGACCTCAGCAACTACATCGACGGGCACACCCCGGAGGGCAGCAAGGCCGACTCTGCTGTCAGCAGCTTCTACCTGGACATACAACCTTCCCCAGACCAGTCAGGTCTCGACATCAACGGAATCAAACCAGAACCGATATGTGACTACACACCAGCATCGGGCTTCTTTCCCTACTGTTCCTTCACCAATGGGGAGACTTCCCCCACTGTGTCCATGGCAGAGTTAGGTAAGGGCACACATGTTTCTCCTGGGGGGCTCTACTCGTGCCCTTTGAAATAAAAGGGGTGCATTTGACTTCTCTCTTTTGAGTTATGTTATTAAAATGGTGAAATTCACCTTTCACCCCTGTCCCAGGCATTTGGGCTACTTCGTGCTCCAACTTGTTCCCCTGCTGTTCCCCAAGGCATCTCCAATAACTATATTGACCTCTCAGCATCGGGCTGGGACAAATAATCATACACAGTCTTTAAATTCTGCTGCTCAGGGAATGACCCATGTTATCTACCTTGTAAATAACTATATGACCTCATTTATATTCCAGGTACTGCTTTGTACCTTAGGTGACAAAAACCGGCAGCCCACAAACAGAACCTCTTTTAACACAGGCATCTCTTTTTTTTTTTGGGACAGAGCCTCATGCTGTCACCCTGGGCAGGGTGCTGTGGCATCACAGCTCACAGCAACCTCCAACTGCTGGGCTGAAGCAATTCTCTTGCCTCCGCCTCCCAAGTAGCTGGGACCACAGGCGCCCGCCACAACGCCCGGCTATTTTTGATTTTGGTTGCAGCCATCATTGTTATTTGGTGGGCCCAGACTGGATTCGAACCCGCCACCTTAGGTGTATGTGGCTGGTGCCTTAGCCACTTGAGCCACAGGCGCCGAGCCAACACAGGCATCTCTTTATGGGTCTAAATTCAAATCCTCAAGAGCAAGGACATTTGAAGCCTGGTCTTTAACCATTGAACAGCATTAAAGGTGTATCTTATTTTTTTGACCAGGGAAGAGTTTTAAAATTTTTAATCTATTGCTAACATTTAGACAGTTCTATCAGCTTCTTGTGGGATGGGGGAGAATGAAGTGTGTGTACTGGGCCAGCATTTGTGAAAGTCAGCAGCTAGCTAAGATCAGCCAGGCGCTAGCTAAATACTTTTTATTGGGCCCACACCCCTTCTCTCATTTATTTTATTTCACTTTTTTTTTTTTTTTTTTTTGAGACAGTCTCACTTTGTCATCCTGGGGTTGAGTTCTGTGGCATCACAGCTCACAGCAACCTCAAACTCTTGGGCTCAAGTGATTCTCTTGCCTCAGCCTCTTGAGTACCTGGGATTATAGGTGCCCGCCACAACGTCTGGCTATTTTTTTTTCTTTTCTCTTTTTTTGCAGTTTTTGGCGGGGGCTGGGTTTGAACCTGCCACCTCCGGCATATGGGGCAGGCGCCCTACTCTTTGAGCCACAGGCACCGCCCCCTTCTCTCATTTATATCATCTGTACATCCCCCATTGGTATCCTAGTTTTTCAATCCTGATGTATATTATAAACGTTCAATGTAAATTAGCTTCTTTACTAGCCAAAATGCTTTGATGATAGACATTGGTGACCATATGATATACTTCACATAAGGCTCACCGCGCCAGAAAAAAAGAAAAATGTCATTTTCTTATTGCTGGGACATTGCTGCTTCTTGGGAGATGTGACCTAGAAAGGTTGATAACACAGACGATGGAAAACTTTCCATTTCAAGGAAGTTGTGTTAACATCCTCTGCTATTTTTAATCGATTTTTAAGTACGGCACTATTATTAGAGAAACTTTGATAAGAACCTTTGTAGTTTTAGAATTTGATCTGTTCCTCCTGGTGATTCCTCACACAAGGTTATAATCCTTTGGGATATTTCAATTAGTTGCTGTGGAGATGACTAAGTTAATACGAGGAGAGAATGAAGACTTCAGATGGAAAAGAACCAGCAGGTTCTGACTTCAGCACAGAAATCCTCAGTTCACAGACATAATGGCTGTGCTCTTTAGATGGTTTCTCCACCTCTGTACCCCATAAAACATCTTTTAAGTGAAAATTTATATTTCCAGTAAAATCTTTCTCCAAATAGAACAAATTGAATGTTCTTTACGGTTTTTACACAAGCATCTCTTTATGGGTCTAAATTTAAATCCTCAAGAGCAGAGACATTTTAAGCCTGGTCTTTAACCACTGAACAGCATTAAAGGTGTATCACAGCTCTTTTGATTAACAGAGAAACCTCTGAACTAGAAGCCAAGCTGAGCAGTGGTAGGTTTGATTTTTTTTTTTTTTCTTGAACTAGAACAAAAACCTTCCATTTTTGTCGTGAAATCTTGGTTGGCTGAGCCTTAAGCAGAACAGTAATGAAAGTAAAATTTTCAGGTATGAATAAGGATTTGATTGAAAGCTGACATGATACCATGAAAAATGACCTGACTCACTTTAGGTTTGCTCCCCCCTTACCTCAAATACCAGTGACTCTGTGCTGTTTGCTTGTCAAACGTTCAATCCTCAAATAAATCCATCAGCCTTAGGCAAAGTGTTGCCCTTGAACGTGACACTGTGGCTAAAAGCGCGCTGATACCCTAAGCGGGGCCAGAAATGGCTGAGCCGATTCCTCAAGGTTCCCAGACAAGGCAGCTTCCCGTCCTTGGTGGTCACTGCCCAGTACAGACTGGGAGCCCTGGGCCTTATATGTCCTTTTAAATTACGGATTCTTCACAAGCGTCCCATTTTCTAGGATGAATTAAATCAATTCATTATAAGTGGTAGTCTCAAACCCAAAACCAAATTAGAATTTGTCTGGAAGGGATATAATTGGGCTCTAATTTTCTACTTACACATGCAGTGTAGTTCAGGGAGCTAAGAATACCACCAAAGTGGCCCAACTCTTTCTGCTCCTTCTTCAAAGCTACTAAAGTTCCTGCTATCTTCTCTGCTATCGATTAACTCAGACTCATGACTTCATTGGGGGCTAAATTTTGTCATCAGATTTTAAACAAATGAAATCTACTGTACCGTAGGGAAATAAAATTATAGATTAACATCTCCTAAGTCCTAAGTCTGTCTTTCAATAATAGTATCTATTACTTTTAGTGGAAAATACATCTTCATCCTTAGCTAGGAAATTTTTGCCCTTGGTGTGCAATTAGCACCTGAATTATCTATTCCAGATAAACGACCTAGGTTCATTTTGTTTTTTAAAAGGGCTAATTGTATTTCTTTACTATAATTGATAACTAAAGCTTCATGCAGTAGAGATGACTGATACATTGGGCAAAGCATAAGACCAGAAGTCAACTTACATGGATTGTGGTCCTAGCCTTGATGTAAGTTGCACAACCCAGGATTCATCACATAACCTCTGCAAGCTGCAGTTTCCTAACCCACAGAATATGGAGGGTGCCTGAAAAATGTACATACACTTTAAGAAAGGAAAAAATGGTATTAAAATTGTAATGCTTGACGTGTGAGTTCTGCAGTTACAACAGATACAAGATAACAAACGTTATCACTATATAATGAGTATCCATTTGGGGGGCACCTTCTATATAAAGTTTAAGAGCATAGACCCCAGAGCCAAATTGTCTGTGTTTGAATCACACCTCTGCCACTTGTCAGCTGTGACATCTTGAAGAAGTCACTTAACCTCACAGTGGCTCAGTTTCGTCATCTGTAAAATGGGGATAACGCTAGTACCTTCCTCCTGGGGTTGTTGTATGAATTAAGCAAGAAAAAATATGTATGTATTCAGAATAGATATAAATCATATGGGTCTGGCACATATTAAATGTTATATAACTGTTAATGTTATGCCTTGGCGCCTGTGGTTCAAGTGGCTAAGGCACCAGCCACATACAACTAAGGTGGCAGGTTCAAATCCAGCCCAGGCCCGCCAAACAATGATGGCTGCAACCAAAAAATAGCTAGGCATTGTGGCAGGTCCCTGTGGTCCCAACTACTTGTGAGGCTGAGGCAGGAGACTCGCTTGAGCCCAGGAGTTGGAGGTTGCTGTGAGTTGTGATGTCATGGCACTCAACCCAGGGGGACAGCTTGAGACTCTGTCTCAAAAAAAAAATGTTAATGTTATTATCATTATTGTTATTTTTTGTAAAATGGGTAGTTTGGAACAGCTGATGTCTAAGTGTTCCTTCCTACTATAAAAATTCGTGACGAACTCAGAAACCAGGATTTTCCACCTAAAGTATCTAGACTTTGGCTCACTGGCGAGGCACTCAGACTAGAGGAGGTGAGCTGACTTGCCCCGGTCACACACCGAGATAGGGATCTGCTGAGTCTCAGAACAGAAACCAAGTCTCCTAAACACCTCATTCCAAGGTATTTCACTATTCCAGACTGTTTCTCTGAAAGACCACACTACATTTCCAACTCTTATTCAGTCTGACCATATTCTTCTTTGCTGAAATGGAGATTTAAAAATAGCAAAGTGTCTAACATCTTACACTTGCCAAATCCGCTGTGAGCTAGAATCAAAGGTGAGCAGCCGGTGTGAATGCAGCCACTGCCCTCTACTGACCTGTCAGGTACACTGCAGACGTGGTCGGCTCATTTCTTATGGGTTCTTCTAAACAGGGGGATCCGTGGCAACGTTTTTTTAGGATAAAGTGAAACAAGGTGCTCACCATCTTATTAACTGTAAAAGAAGCATAACCTGGAAGAAAATGATGCGAGCCTCTTCCTATCGTTCACCCCACAAGGCTTCCTCTGCTTGCTGGGAACACACTTGATCTTCATCATTATTTTTCATATCTGCAAAAACGGGTTTTCATTCTAGTGATGCTCTCACACCGTGAATGCCCTTTCTATAGAAGATCTTGCACTATGTTATTTGTGAATTTATTTTCTGGTTTCTGACTCTCCATTATTTTTGTCTTTCCTTTTCACGAGTATCGGTGACTCTAAGACATAATTTGCTGGCTGGCTTCTCCCTCTTTGCTCTCTGTTTCTCCCGGTCTCTTTCCTTTAATTTTTTTCTTTGGTTCATGTTTTATTTTTCGTGTTATTTGTGTTTGCTGTTTGAGTGTCTGTGATTTGCCAAGTAGGGCCATTAAGGTTTATTACTTTTCAGTGTCTCCAAGGAGATTCTGGTTTCAGGCTCCATTTAAGCAAACCTGAACTTTCTTCTCACAAACAAAGTCTGCTTTTGTTTGACAAAAGCAGGAACATATTTCATACAAATAGACGCTCTCATGGCATTACCAATGCATGCAGCACCCTTCTTTTAAATGGCTGGACTCTGAATGTATTGAAGACTCTGAAAGGGGGATTTTTTTTTTTTTCTTTGCTATGGTTTTACATTCACAGAATCTTGTGGATTCTTTTTTAAAAGCTAATTCAGGCATCCTTCCCTTCCATCACTATTGCCACCAACCTGCTTCAGGCTCTCAGTCCCTCCCATCTAGATTCCTGCAGCTTTCTCCTCCGTCCTCCTGCCTGAGCCGCGCTGTGCCCCAAGCCACCAAGCACAAAACTGCTCGCCCTATTTCCCCAGATAGAATTTTCAACACATCAGCTTTCCCTTAAGGATCCTGTTGATTCTTTCTGTTCCATCAAGTCTGAACTCAGTCCTAACGTTCAAGCTCAGGATCTTAACCTACCTATATTTCTGTTTCGACAATGTCACTTTCTGACGAAGGTGTATCTGCTATAAATGCCGTATTTGTTCCTTCAGACACCATCCCTCCTCTGTGGAGCTGGTCCACCTCCTGACACTGCTGACCTGCCTACCAATCCTTCCCTTCCTCCAGGGGCCAGTGCAGAGTCTTCCTCTGCCAAGAAGCATTTCCTGCTTCCACTTGGTCAACACGAGTCTCTCCCTTTTATGACGGCAGCTATTACGTTCTCTTCTGATAGAATTCAACTTCATGCTTTTTATCTAATGTCCTGAATTATCCTTTCAGTAGGTCCATACTTGTTCACCAGATTATAAACTCCTAGAGAAAACTCCTAGGCATCTATTTCTTTAGTATCTTCAAACAGCCTGCACTCAAGTATAATAATGGTTAATGTTTTGTGGTAGATGCTATGTAAGCCTCCCTGCTCCAAGTGCTTAACCCATTTAATTCTTACAGAAGCTCTATGAAATAGGTACTATTTTCCTCCTTATATTAGAAATGAGGAAACCAAAGCACAGAGAAGTTAAGTGACATCCCCCAGATCGTATAGCTAGTAAGTTGCACAGCTGAGATACAGACCCCATCTAGCTGGTCTGTTTATCAACAGCTAGCCTACGTGAAATCACGTGGCCGACCCTTGGTAATGCTTGTTCTGCAATTTGCAGGAAAACAGAAGAAATGCATAGCTGTCATCCTAAAAGAATATCATTTTCTAGTTTTTCAAGAATAGGAATAGTATTTCCCAGGCCAATGTATGTGGCCGATGTTTCTTCATAAGAATTCCAAGGAGAAGCCATGTCAATCATTTTCCATACCTATCTGGGTCATTTACTCCTAGATGTTGGTATAAAGACACAGAACAAGGTCAAGGTCAGGAGGGGTCTTTGAAGTCACCACACCTTATTTTCAAATGTTGGTTCTGCAAAGTCCCTGTCCTCCAGCCTCATGTTCTCAAACACGGAAGAGTTCCAAATTGCTCGTTTAAAGGTGTAAAGATAATCAAAACTGGTTTGGGACATTGCTTTATACTTGTTCATTTTTAAAGCAAATATTAAACGGCTGATGATCCCAAAACGAACTTGGCTTTTCATGTTTGTGGTCTCCTGTTTTCTCCTTAGAACACCTTGCACAGAATATATCTAAGTCACATCTGGAAACCTGCCAGTACTTGAGAGAAGAGCTCCAGCAGATAACGTGGCAGACGTTTCTGCAGGAAGAGATTGAGAACTACCAAAACAAGGTAGGGCTGAGGAATTTCCCAGGACTGCAGCAGCACTGGGGCTGGGGTGGGGACAGGAGATGCAGCTAAGAGTCCAAACAGACCAAACCGTGAGTGTCTTTCATCAGGTATCAGATTTCTTCCCAAGTGAAAAATCTTTCTCTCAGAGTGGCTCTTGGACTTGAACTTTTGCCATTCCACAGAGATGCCAGCATGCAAAATTTCAGCAACAGCAAATAATTTTTATTGTGCTTTATTAGGATAAATGTATCTCCTTTTGCTTGTCAACAGGGGACTAGATTAAGCAGGTTCTAAAACCCTAAATGAATTGAGATGTGTCCTGATGTCACAGGGGAAGGTTTTAAGGTCTGGAAGTTGATGTAAAAGAACCTGAGCCTCATGTTCCCTGGAGATTAACAAGAAGGTGTTCAGAGAGTGTGTACCAAAAAATTTGTAAGCTATGGTCATAACTCCAGTCTGAACTTAGCAATATGAGGCTAACAATTAGTACTGCTGCTTGCCTTTTTTTTTTTTTTTTTTTTTTTTTGCAGTTTTGGCCAGGGCCAGGCTTGAACCTGCCACTCCCAGTATATGGGGCCAGCGGCCTACTCCTTAAGCCACAGGTGCCACCCGCTGCTTGCCTTTTTTAATATAAAACACTCTTATCAACAAGAATATCTAGGCCAATGCTTTTCAACTTTTTTATCTCACCACATTCTTGAATCTATAGTTAAATGTAACACAGCACATTTAAATTATGTCAATTTTTTAAAAAGTTAAAAAAAAGAATATACTTAATGTGCTTTGAAGTTCTTTCAAAAATAATTTGATTAATGATCTTTAAAATTTTTCATGGCACACCCAAGATCCTCTCATAGCACACAAGTTGAAAAATCACTGATCTAGGGCCACGCCTGTGGCTCAGTGGGTAGGGCACTGGCCCTATATACTGAGGGTGGTGGGTTCAAACCTGGCCCCAGCCAAATTGCAACAAAAAATAGCCAGGCATTGTGGTGGGTCCCAGCTACTCAGGAGGCTGAGGCAAAAGAATCACCTAAGCCCAGGAGTTGGAGGTTGCTGTGAGCTGTGATGCTACAGCACTCTACCGAGGGTGACAAAGTAGAACTCTGTCTCAAACAAAAAAAGAAAAATCACTGATCTAGGTTAATCCTCCCCTTCCTTTTACAAATGATAAAATTAGCGTCCGTTAGCATCTGGCTGGAGTGTGAAACAGCAGGACCAGACCATGACTCCTGGTTTCTGATTCAGTGTTTCTTCCACCCCATCATATTGGTGGGAACAGTCTTAAACTAAGATTGGGGAAATGGGAGAATAACAAATGCTCCAGGTCGCTCAGTAACTGAATGGAGGGCGAGTGTATAAAAGGAATTGAGCACAACAGATTGGGGAATGACAACACCGTAGCAGCCAGAGATACAAAAGCAAAGCAACAAAACAGTAAGAGCAGCAAGGCACGTGAAAGGGGATGTCAGAGATACTGGGTGGAATCCTTGCTCCTACACCCACTCGCTGTGAAACCTCTGTGAGCTTTAGTGTCCATTTCTAAAAAATAGAAAAATGTGCTTATGAAAATAAATCAAGACAAGGACACCATACAGCCCCTTGATCGTAGTAGGCACACAGTCAATTAATCCACTCCCCTTTCCTGCCCTTCCCCAAGTAAAGTGGTGTTTATTTATCCCAAGAGAAAATAATTAAGGAACAGCCCACTTTGCTATTCTCTGTGGCTGAGTGCTAAAACACTGACAAGCTCTGCCTTCCAGACTCTTCTTTTTAAGCTTCTGCTACATAACATCACATCTTCCTGGAGTATGTTAATGTGTTTCCCTCTTTAACAGCAGCGGGAGGTGATGTGGCAATTGTGTGCCATCAAAATTACAGAAGCTATACAGTATGTGGTGGAGTTTGCCAAACGCATTGATGGATTTATGGAACTGTGTCAAAACGATCAAATTGTGCTTCTAAAAGCAGGTATGTGCTTTGCAAGTGAATTTTGAGCTCTCTCCCTAACCTGCTCTCACCTGCCTATTAAAGAAATGCTTGGTAAGGAAGGTGTCGGGAACGGTTTTTCTCCAATGATAATAGCTCAGGTTTTTCTTAGCAGAAGCTGGGTTCTTTATAAAGGTTTCTGAGCCATGTTCAGAAAATGTTCCCTCCCATTTTGCTCCTTTTCTGGGTGAAAAGATTAATTTGAAGGACACCTGCATTCCCAAACTTGACCATCACCTGTGTTCTGTTTCTGCTTTCCAGGTCCTCTGGAGTTTATGATAATTTGTTAGGAAGAATTCCTGGTTGTGATTGTTTTAATAAATACGAATTAATATTTGCCTAGCAACTTGGAGAGTCTGGGTTGCAAGACAGAAGAGGCCAAGGAAGTAATTTGTCAATCAGTCCTTGCTTCAGTTAAAGAGGTTTTAGCTTCAATAGAATGGTCTTTAATTCTGGGAGAAAACTCTAGCGTTTGGATAGATAGCAGATGTGGCCGAGAACCCACCAGCCAGACAGCACACAGCAGCCACTGTGCTGTATCTGAAGGGGTCTCTACATTCGCACCTTGGAAATGAACTCACCAACACCAAATGACCCAACCCACTTCTGCCCCTGCTTAGGTTCTCTAGAGGTGGTGTTTATCAGAATGTGCCGTGCCTTTGACTCTCAGAACAACACCGTGTACTTTGATGGGAAATATGCTAGCCCGGACGTCTTCAAATCCTTAGGTAAGGAAATTGCAAGATGCTTTGTCTTTAAGGCGGGGACACAGGAAAAGATGTGGGTTGGGTGAAAGCTCTCATCGGAAACGGATGATTCACAAACAGAAATTAAAGGATTTTATACCTACCTATTTTACTTTCTAATTAGTCACTATTAAACAAGTCACATAGCTCAAAGCTCTTTGTCTATATCACACATAAAGATCTGGAGTTTCATTTCGTTTAGGTGGTAATCAAAGGGTTTTATGTTATCTATGCTTCTGGTTTCCTGCAAGATTTTAAAAAGTGAGATTTGTGGGGGACATACACGTATTATTCAGATAACTTAAGAGCAGCTGTCCCCAACCTTTTTGGCATCAGTGATCAGTTTTAAGGAAGACAATTTGTGGGGTAGCACAGAGGGCAGATGGAGCTCTGTGGCCCATTTCCTGACAGACGAGGCACTGGTAGCAGTTGGTGGCCTGGGGGACTGGAGACCCCAGACTTAGAGCTTGTGATTTGATAGATAAAATCAAGCAAAGAGCAGTAAGTCTTCCTATACCCTGCAACAACCACCATTAATAAGAACGCAATGTAGATATCAAAGAAATAAAAGTATAGATAAAGAGAAACTGTGACATATAATGATAAATATGTTACTGATAAATAAATTTGGGTTTCTGTAATTTAAATAAAGTGGAATGTACTAGGGGAATGGAAAGCTATCCAAGATGTGTAAGTGATTTTTTTTAAAAGTCCCAATGACCAAAGGAATATATAATTAAGTATAGCATAATCCATGGCCTTCTAAATAGGTATACATAGTATGAAAATCTGAAAGAATAGACACCAAACTTAATCAGTTTTTAGGGATTGGGTTATTATTTTAGGGGACTTTCACACTCTCTGTTTTCAGTTTGGTAAATCGTAATAGTTTGAATCACCAGAATGTGTCATTTGTTAATATTGTAAAGGGTGTTTTAGATGAAAACACAAAGGAGTGAATTGAACACGCTGGGTAGATTGTGGCTGTTAGGCTCTGTGGGTTGGAAGTGTGGGCTGTGAGGTAGGACAGCTGGCTTTGCATTTCAGTGTACTTCTTACCTTGTGATGTGGGCTATAATAGGACAGCTGGCTTTGCATCTCATGGTGTAGCCCCTACCTTTGTGACTATGAAGTCTCTCTTTCCTCACCTCTAAAATGGGGATGTCGATGATGATGATTCCTCCTTCATAGGCCTATTGCAAAATAAGAGGAAACTCTAGCAATCTCTCAGAGCCGCCCTTGACATAGGAATCACAGCAAAAGTTCGTGCTCCTGGTTTCTAAATGGTGATGGTGGTAACTAAACAGATTATTCTTTGACAATTTTCAGCTATCAAACTGTAAAAATGTTACTCCTATCCCCTCTGGGTCTGCCCCCACCAGATTTTTTTTTCACCTCCTCCCATATTTTTCTCCTATAATAATTACCAAAATTCTCAACTGTCTTGCTTTTAATTTTGGCAGGCTGTGAAGACTTTATTAGCTTTGTTTTTGAATTTGGAAAGAGTTTATGTTCTATGCACCTGACTGAAGATGAGATTGCATTATTCTCTGCGTTTGTACTGATGTCAGCAGGTAAGTGGCGAAATTGTCCAAGAATTTTTACAAAGTTCCTAACTTTTAATGGCTAGAAAGTATGTGAGAGCTACCAAGAGAGGTCGCTGCCTTAGTAAATCTGATTTTCAGTTTTTCAGATATCACCCTGTCTGACTACCCCCAACACATATTCTTTCAAAAAACACCTTATGTCTTTTAAGATAACATTAAGAAATGAGAACTGACTAAAACCCAGTCCACAGAAGCTATAGTGGAGTAGGGTCGCCCGTCTTAATACCAGTCTCCAAGATAATGTGGTTTTTAAGACCTATTACTCTTTCTTAAAATCCGTTTGGATGTCATCTACCTGTTTATCTGAATGGAATCTGTATTTTCAACCAGTACTGCTTCTTGGGGATAATCACTTTTGCAAAGTTACCATCTTCTATTTGGAATTCTTAACGCATGAAGACTTTATCTTAAATTAACGACACTTAGGTAATTTGGAATTTTATTGACAGTTTTAGTTGCCTTGGATTATAAAGCAATCTTCCTATTTTCTAAGAAGGCTAGCAGCATTGATACTGAATATTTTACTCAGAAATTCACTTAGTAAAAGGCTTGAGGGGCCATGGCAGCTTTATTTGCACTCCTACAAGTAGTACTATTTAAATGTCTACTCTTTGGAAGAGAGGGTGCCTTCTTTGCTTTAAGTATGAGTAAAAATGGCGCCTGTGGCTCAA